TTTGCATGTAAACTCGCTGCTTCTGCTGCACCTGCTGGGTCCGGTTCACACCGATGTTGAGCGGTTGAACAGCGAGCAGAGGGTTAATTTGTTTCCCCATGTTTTTCACATCAGCTGTGAGATGGGCACGCATGGAGTTACAGATTAATGGTGATGAGTGGAAAAAAAACACCTGGTCTCCTTACATTCAGCCACTCTTTCATCATCTCCTCAATGAGGTGGTCTCAAAAGTCGCAGTTACAACACACATAGGGCGCACCGCACCATAGGGCGCACCGCACATTTTGAGGGGAAAAAAAGACGTTTAAGTGCGCCTTATAGTCGTGAAAATACGGTATACAAGCCTTTTTACAATCTGGCAACTTTATCGGCCAACTTTACCTACATAGAAGTCTTGGGAAAAAAGTGTGTTTTTACTTGATTTGCATTAATATCGAAGTGGGAGATCTTAAAGGTCCCTTTTCCTCGAGTAAATCCAGTGTTTTGGTATCCACGTGCATGGGCAAAATGCTAGGATGCTTAAGGCCAACAAGATGCACCAGTACTTTACTTTCAGGGCATTACTCTTAGCAGGACCTCCTCAAATCGGTAAATATACACACCTTAGGACCAGATCACATATAACAAAATGCTTTTGACGGGTAAAGCAGCACACATCGCCAGCACTATGATGATGTCATACATCTTTATTTCATACAGATTGGACATTACAATAATTTGTCTCTACTTTGCCTGTTACAATATGAATGAATTAACATGATTTGTAACTTTTTTTAAAGTAGTATGAAATTATTTTAAAGGCTTATTTGGGGCTTTCCCACTGAGACCCCTATCATGACCTTGCATGGAATAGCCCTACAAAAGATGGTTGGGGTGCTATATTTTAAAATATCTTAATAAAAGTGTTCTGGGTTAATCAGGAAGATAACTTTCCAAGCTTTTAAAAATCAACACTTTTTTCACTTCATTCACATGAAAGCTCTTTTGAGGTAAAAGTTACAATCCAGAGCAGCTTGAAGAAATCTGAATTTATACACCATGTGAGAAGGTGTAGTGTTTGCTGGCTTACCTCAAAATGTTGCTCTGGAAAGTTTCTATGTCAGTCGTCGATCTTTATGGAATATGTATTGTTAAAATGGCAAATTGTTAATTTATAGAATTGTCTAATGAATTTTCTTGAATGTAAAAAAAAAAAATGGACATCTTGAACCATCTCTTTGTTTCACCCATGTTTAGCAAATCCTAGAGAAGCACAGAGTTCTCCTGGATAGTTCTCATTATGGTGTATTCTGCTACATGTTCATGATTACAGGCTCCTACAGCCCAGGTGTGAGTGCCCCATCAATGGTGCATAATACCTATCCAAAGTGTCAGTCAGAAAAAGCATGACAAAAAAAAAATTACATGTTCTCATTTTACATTTGACTCATCCAAGATGCATATAACTACAAAAAGACAAATGGTCTGCTCTGTTTGCCCTCTTGCAGCAGCAACAGAAATAACGATCAAAATGAAAGACAATGCATTTATCCATGAGAGGAGGTCATCAATTGTTTATGCAGAAATTCTAATACTTGAGACACAATAAACACAACATGTAACTCATTCAAGCCCGTGTCAAACCTTGACCATTGAGCCGGCGTATGCCTGACGTATGACTCTGGGTCAGTTCATGTCCACATACTGCAAGTACGTCAAGAAATTTTGAGCATTTCTTTGAGCATGCTCAAAATTTCTTGATGTATGTCAATGTATGCTCATATGTGGGTATCACAGGTAGTGTTGGGCCGATGCCTTTTTTTGGCCCCGATACTGATACCCGATACATGGCTGTGCAGTATTGGCCGATACCGATACCATAATAATGTAAAATAATTGCCATCATGGCTTTGTCAAGCTGCTGCCTACCTTTGTGAAGCAGGAAAAAATCTAATACAAAGTGAATCCAGTAGAACTTTTTATTGCCTACCAAGAGTGGATGACAATAGTTGAATAAACTTATGGCTCTCAAAATGGTATTGGTGCCCTATTTGTTGGTACTCGCCGATACCGATACCACCATTTTAGGGCAGTATTGGGGCCCCGTCCAATACTGGTATCGGTATCGGTACAACACTAATCACAGGTAAGTTATTTGATTGTTGACATATGTTAAGTGTAAGTTACTGACAAGTCATGGCGTCTAGCTTATCCAAAACCGGTTAGTAACTTTTTCATAACTTATGCGTAAGTTATTAAGAACTTATCACAAATGCATATCAACGTATTTGACGTGTACCAGGTGACCACTGAACGTGTTTATAAATTACTGTCACTGTATAATGCCCTATTGGCAGCATTTTGGCATGAAAGGGGTTTCACAGGAGGAAACAGTCTGTATTTCACTAGTCTTCATATCCATCATAGGCTGAGCAAGAAAGTGAGTATGATGGATCCTCCCTGTACTCAAGCCCACAGCCACGGCCAACAATCTTTCTAGCAGACATGACACTAAATCAGACAAGTCAGTTCATTTGGATTGGATTAAACTGATCTCAGATAAAAAAGTAAAAAATATTGGTTATTTTTGATCAGGACCTGTCATTTAAATCCCATATCCAAGAGCTTTCTAGAATTTCCTTCTTTCATCTGCAGAATATTTCAAAAATTTGAGATGTCCTGTCCAACGGTGTTGCTGAGAAACTAGTCCATGCATTTTTTACTTCAAGGGTGGACTATTGTAATTCTTTACTATCAGGAAGTCCACAAACCGTAGTTAAAAGCCTTCAGATGATGCCAAAATGCTGCAGCCAGAGATCTGATGAAAATTAAAAGGAGAGATCATATCTCTACTATCCTGGCTTCTCTCCATTGGCTTCCTGTTAAATCCAGAATAGAATTAAAAATCCTCCTTCTCACATATAAAGCCTTAAATGGCCAAGTTCCATCAAATAATTGCGATCGCAAAAAAAAGCTCTTCTGTTTTACATCAAAACAACAAAACAAATTTTTGAAAGAGGGAGTTTTTCATATAATCAACAGTAGTGGATTAGGAAAGAAATTTGTTGTTAGGATTTTACCATTTGCCTTAGATTCAGTAAAATTAGTTTCATTCTTGTTTCTGAGATTCTCTGCATTTTATTTACATTAACAGAAAACAATTTACAGCAAAGTGTTTATAGTGCCTGAAAAAAAAGTGCCTGACAAAAAAGTATCAGTATTAATATTCTTGTCTCTATCAAAATATTATATTTATAAAGTATTGTGACCATTTTCTTCAAAGAGGGGAGATTAAGGGATATTTTACCTTTTTAATGGTCTCCCTGAAGGAGCTTAAAGCAACGCTTCCTATTCAGTGTAGCAGAGTTGCTGATTCAGACACATCACCCATTTTGTATGAAGCACTGGGGAGCATCCCTACTGAATAACGGTTAACTCCTGAGCATTATATGCATATTTGTATTGAGTGCTGTAGGATTGGCATCTACCTTTTAAGCTGAGGAGGCCAAGTAAGGGACTAGAGTAAAAGCTACAGTTCTGCTATGGTTCATGGTATTGCAGTATGAACACTATGCTTGCTGTAAAGGAACTATCACACTCAGGGCTTACTGGGACATTGTCACTTGGAGACGAGCAGCCTGAGGCTCCAAAATGGCAAAAAAGTCCACCACTGATCTGTTTATATACTTCAGCATCCAACTCCTGGCCACTTTTAACAGTCTTCATGTAAAGGCAAACAGAAATTTGCTTAGTTTTAAATTGTAAAAATTTTACTGATAAACAAAAGAAGCAATAATGAATATGTAATCACTTAGAAGGGCAGTGTCTCCAAAAGGATGTCGAAGGAACACTGAGGTTTCTTTAGCTTATCAGCTTATTTTGTACTTATTCAGAACTTTGAAAAAAAAAACTTACTTAACCTTAGTGAAAGCTGGAAAAGAAGCACAGAATGTAAAGGAGAAAAGTCTTTACAGTATGACAAGTTTGATTGCATGAAAATATAGAGCTTAAAGGAAGAGATCTTAACTCTTGCCTTGTTTTGATGGAGTCAACTCTTCAGTAAAAGAGACAAGGTACCTTTACCTGGGATTCTGTGCTTCTACTCAGATCAGAGCACAGAGGATTTTTACACATATACTCATACTGGCCTCATGGGTGTTTTACTTATTCTAGAAAGGTATTGGAGGCCCTGTAGTTTGTTTTGTTTGTCTTTTATAAATGTGAATGGTATAAATGGTAAATTACCATTAACCTTTCTATAAACTTAATAAAAAATTTCTTCTTGAAGAAGGATTTCAGTAAATGATAAAAGCCAAACAAATTTTAACAAAGTTTCTCCAGGCTTGGATGGTCTGATTGGACACATGTTTTCTCTGTCAGTTATGATATGTCCTTCTCTTTTGACCATCTCCTGCATCACTGATTATTCTTCTCTTTATCACACATGTACTCTGACTCAACCCCCAGAGGTATAAACACATTAGAGAGTAATTTTAAAGCATCTACATTAGATAGCATTTAGAAGAGACAGTTGTTGCTATTTTATCAAAGCCTACAAGGGAGGTACTGTAAAGCTAATGTAAAAACAGAGTGTTTGAGAGATACATACAAAACTGGTAAGAGCAAAATTTAAACTAATAGAGAGAAATATACATATAAAATATTATTTTCCGGTGCAAAAATAAAGTTATGAACTGTTGAGAGTTTAAACCGTTAAAACCGTTTAAACAGTTAAAAATATATTTATTTAAAGAGATTTCAAATTATAGTATTGAGTGTTTTACCAGAGTGTCTTATGAGTTACTGTTAACAATATCAAGATCCTAATCAGTGGAGAAGTGCAAAATATTGGGCAGAATTTCTTGTTTTTTGTATTTGTAATTTGTAATTTTCCAGTAACCCAGGCCCTAGGTCACAAAATTATAGCTTTTTTGTCTTCTGAATCTGAGCAAACATTACATTCTATAAGGTCCTTACTTTGAGCACTTTTGCAGCAAAAAGTGAATGAGGCAGGAAATACAGAGATTCGTCGGTGTATAATCACCCCACTTCCTCCTGTCTTTTAAGTATCACAGTGTCTAAGAAGTTGTGTGAAGATGATTCTGTTTTGGGTCATGCTACATGTTCTTCTTCATCAAGGAAGTAAGTGTCCTTTCTTGTAACTATAACATAAATTACCATTTTTATCTTGCATCCATGCTTTACATGAGGATTTCTTAGTTGTTGTATTGGTGCTGAATGCATTGAAATTTGCTATAGTTAAAAAGTCCATATCTTCCTCTTAAAGATGTTTGGTCACAGAAATATATTTCTTGAATGTCAGTAGGTCTTATTCAAATAATCTCCAGAGTTATGACGTGCATTGTTGACAGTGATATAACTTTGTGTACTAAATAAAATTACATGTTCCAAAAATATACCAGGCCATACCCAAATTAAATGGGATTTTATATTTGATCTGGTGATTGAAGACACTGGTTGAAACATACTCTAATGCAACACTGAAAAAGTAAGTAAATTATTTGATGAACAAGTATGCAAGTGAAAAACTTTAAAAAATGTAAAACTATTACACTGTGGAAAAAAATATAAAGCATCAGAAATTAGTATATTTTGCCTTGAACATTATCCTCTGCGTCGCAGCAAGAAGTACTTTTTGATTTCATTTCCAAGAAAGTCAATCAGAAGCCTTTTAAATTGGTTTAAGAAACATCTCCCTTTGAACTAAATGTCAAATGTCTGTGAAGACACTGTCAATGACTCTTTTATGAGCTGCACTGTGTTTCCTTCATGAAGGATGTAAGTGTTACTGGTACCAAGATTTTATATTGATTATATGTATTTGTTTGATTGTTTGTTTTACTATCATCAACTTTAATCTGTTTTTGTCACAGATGCCTTGGTTCCAGTGGTCACAGTTCATCTGGGCAAACCTGTGACTTTAACATGTCATGTAACTATGGAAAAACACAGCAATGACTGGCTTCACTGGTACAAGCAGACTGCAGGAGATACTGTTAAATTGATTGTAATGCTACGTAAGAATACAAGCCCTGTTTATGGACCTGGATTTTCATCCTCAAGTTTCAAAATACCTGACGACGAAATGGATAATCTGACAATTGTAAAGACTGTAAGAGAAGATGAGGGAATGTATCACTGTGCTGTTATCGGCTGGGTTGATTCTAAATGGAATGCAACATATTTACTTATAGAAGGTAATTGTGAAACACAATTAAAATACCTTTGCCCTTTAAGGTTGAAAAGCATAAAAAACTTTGAGTATATATACGTAAAGTATATCTTACTAGAAGGTTTTGGTCGCTGAACCTGATATGATTGTCTTAGGTAATTAGTCATGTTAAGAAGGCAGACATAAAAGTTACCCTACATAAAAGTTTAGCTTAATATGTTTAAATATATAGACATGTTATTTGTGTCTTTCTTATTTGCATGCAGTATTTTTTTTCCTGCTAGTGTTTTTTAGGAGATCACTGAACCTCAAAAATAAAGATTTAGTAAAATAGTTTCCAAAAAAACTAAAAGAATAAAAACATTGATTATGGGTGTTGGTATGTTTTTTTTTTTTTTTTTTTTTTTAACTTGTTTTAGATTTTGTCATTCTTTCCAATAACACAATATAACCTATTTTTTTCTGTAGTTTTGAAATGCTTTCACTATTTCAGCAAGGATCTTCTTACTTTGAAAAGCTAACTTTCTTAAGAAGAGACCAAGATGCTTTTTAGTGGTAAAATGCATTAATTTAATAATTCTCAAGCCTACGGAAAGGAGACCTCTTAAATTTAAATATGTTTTGAATCTTAGCAATAGCATTGTACATTCTTCGGTTTATTAATAACAACAATATTAAAGTTATTATTATAAAATTATTCTCTATAGGAAACACTGAGACAACGTCAAGCTACCGTGTTGTTCAGCAGCCAGCTGTTCTAGATCCATCCCGTCCAGTAGAGTCAGATACTCTGCAGTGTTCACTCCTTTCTCAGCCTGAGGAAAAGAGGTGTTCAGGAGAACCCAGAGTGTTCTGGTTGAGAGCCAAAACGGATAAGTCTGTTCCAGATCTCATCTACACCGATGGAAAAACACAGTGTGAGAAGCCATCAAACACCGAGAAGAGGTGTAGTTATAACTTCTCTAGGATGGTTTCCCCTTCTGATGTTGGGACTTATTACTGTGCAGTGGCCACATGTGGTGAGATATTACTTGGAAACGGAACCACAGTTGAAATTGGTATGTTTTCTTTGTATGATATTCTTAAAAACATATATTAATAATAATGGCTTTTTAACAGAAACAAATACATTTTCCTTTGTTTTCCAGCCCATTCATTAAGCAACGTTATAGTGTTGGTGGTAACTGTGATCTGCTTGGTCATTTCTGTGGTTGTGAATATTCTATTAATCTGTTTCCGAGCTCAAAGGACATCACACAAAAAAGGAGGTAAGTACATATAAACTTTAAACAAATTGATATGAAGAGAGTAAAAAGGAAATTTTAGAATCCAAATTCCTCTTTAACTCATGTGTTTAGAAAGCTCCTTTTCACGACCACAACATAACACAAATCAACCAGATGATCTTGTGAGTAATCACACTGACTATCTTTGTTAGTTATGAATATATAAAACCCCGCTGCATATAACAAAAAGACTAAAATCAAAATCTTGATTTGAATTCTGTTTTCATTCAGACAGAAGATGGAGAGCATATGACCTATGCTGCCTTACATTTCTCTACAGGGACGGTGAACAGGAGAGAGTTGAAGACTGAAGAAAGTGTGTATTCAAATGTCAGATTTAGTCAATTTGAATATACATCCTGATGAAGCTCATTTGTCTGATTAAAGGACAAGTTCGGTTTTTAACACTTTTAGCCCATTTTCTGTAGTGTCCAGGATGAAATCGAATGATCGACACCAAAATTTTGACAATTGGTCCTGTCTCTGCTTTTTGGCTCATTTAGAATCCACCCCTGGCTGCTTTAGAATGGCTTCCATTGTGCATGTCCGATAATGTCCTTAAAACAACCTTAAACGTTCTTTTTTTTAAATATGCTACTGCCACCGGAAACGGAAATGGGGCCTGTTTACACAGTTGTAGTCTTTTCGCTTCACTCTGTGTACTCCGACGTCGAGAATCAAGAATCCACCTTTCGTATTCCATTTTCAGAGTTTTTTAAAGTGTTTAACAGAGACGTTAGCACCTCGACGTCGGAGTACACAGAGTGAAGCGAAAAGACTACAACTGTGTAAACAGGCTCCATTTCCGTTTCCGGTGGCAGCGGAATATTGACTATTCCAACAGAACTCAATGGGATTTACAAAATGCTAAATAAAACACTACAGGAACGTTTTTTTCTTCACGAAACTTTTTTTGGAACGTCATTGAACAGCGCTGACGACCCGGTGAGTAGCATATTTAAAAAAAAGAACGTTTAAGGTTGTTTTAAGGACATTATCGGACATGCTCTATGGAAGCCATTCTAAAGCAGCCAGGGGGGGATTCTAAATGAGCCAAAAAGCAGAGACAGGACCAATTGTCAAAATTTTGGTGTCGATCATTCGATTTCATCCTGGACACTACAGAAAATGGGCTAAAAGTGTTAAAAACTGAACTTCTCCTTTAAGTCTACCGTTAAAAAACAGCAACCTTTAACATGTTAATAAATACATATTTTATTAAGTACAAATATCTTTGATCAATATGATTTTATTGGTCTGTCAAATAATCTGTATAATTTGTTTTGCTTAGTGAATTGACCAAATAAAATAAATATCCTTTTCAACATTTTAATTTATTAATTGTTTTTTTTGTACTATTAGCTCATATATACCACCCACATTGTGATACATTCAAATACATGAATCAAAATTAAGTTTTCAAACTAAAATAAATGTTTAAAATAATTTTTTTTTTTTTGTTTTTCTGAATAGATAGCTTACAAAAATCAGAAATGCTACAGATACCCCACCCCAGTCTGACCAATGGCGCTACTATGTGTATTTAATTAATTAAGGAATATTTGTATAAGGTCTTTCACTGCATTTCACTGCATTATCAGGCTGTCAACAGTTAACATAAAACAGTTTTTTATTTATAGGGTGTACGTATTACTAACAGTGGAAAATTAAATAAAGGCTATGATAACAGATTATAATTAAAACAAAATCCAGAAACGACACCACATTTTTGATAAACATATTGACATTCTTGTTGACAATGTATTGCCAGATCAAAGGAATTATTATATTATGGACTACTTTTCACTTATTATGCATGATGTTAGTTTATTTGTCTCTCTGATAATTGTACGTGGTGATATTTATTGTCAATGTATAGCTATATATTTATTGGCAGAGATGAATCAATTCTAATAAACTGTATCTGTCTTTTATTGACTGGTGTTATCAATGTGTCACCCAGGTGTCATGGTTTTGGTTCTGTTCAAGTTTTATCTATGAGTTTTCATTGGTCTTATTTCCATTTTTGTGTTCTAGTTGTTTTTGATTGTATTTGAGTTCTTAGATATTTCTTGTTTGCCCTCTTGTGTCAGTCTCCTTTTCCCTAGCTCCCTTCTTGCCTCTGCTCACACCTGCTCCCAATCTGCTAATTAGCCTGGTTCTTGTTTCTCTCTCCTATATATGCTCTTCCTGGTTTGCTGGTTATCCCCCTCAAAATGTTATTTGCTTGACCCAAAACAAATAATGGTGATACAAGTTATAAGTATCGTCTTTCTTTTCATTTACATCCTGATTATGTCCAGACCTATTTACCTTTGACATCTGAATTCAAAGATTCTATGAAACATTGTTTGATTTTGTGAGTAAAGTTAAATCCTTGAGGCCCTCAACCATTTACAAATCTAAAAAAAAAAAAAAAAAAAAAGTTTTGTTATGGTATTCTGGACCCACTTACACCAAATATCAAGTAGGAAATCCGTGTCCATATTTGATAACAGACTAAAAGTTGATTGCCTGGTTAACTTGGTCACAAAAAATAAAATTGTTTTTAACCATTTGAGAATTTTCTTGAAAATAAAATTATACTTGCCAAATTGAGATGTGGGGGCTGTAATTCACGCTTCATTAACACAAAATTTGATTACTGTGATCTATATAGGCAAGGACTACTTACTGTTGCCTGGCCTGCAGTTAATCTATTTCAAAATAGATTGTAAAAATCTTACTGTTTGTTCTTAAAGCTTTCAGTGGCTTAGCTACCAGTACATGACCAAGCTTCTTCATACAGTATCTATACTCATTCAGAACCCTTGCTGCACCTAGCCTGGGTGCCAGTCCGAACTTAGTCCCGCCCACAAGGTTTGAGTTCAGGGAAGTTCGGTCTGGCTCTGCTCCATAGTAGCGCGAGTATTAAAGCCCACTGTCAGGCGATCCAATCAAATTGTCAGGGCGGGCTTTATACGATGATGGACAGATGATCAAGAGTAACGTTATCAACCACGTGACCAAAGCGCGCTTGGGTGACAACAACAATGGCTGCCGCTGGAGAGTTTAGGTGAGTAGATTCTGCTATTAGGTCTGTTCTAGAAGATATCGACAGCAAATTAATTTTAAAAGAGGAACAGAGAAACGCGATCAAGTCTCATCTTCTTATTCTAGGCGTGAAACTGCACGCTTTGATTTTTGTGGACAACAACTATGCCTCGCTTAAGATACGTCACGCACTCCGTTGCTCTTGTTGGTTGTAGGTCTATCCAATTGAGTACAGAGGCATTTTTTTCCTGGTTCGTTCGAAACACGCCCCATAATCACAGCTCTATGGAGCAGTATCAGACTCATATTCTGACTAGAATTCTCTCTCTGTTCTCCTATTCTGCAGAATCTGTTAGTTCAATCTCTAACCTTCTGCTCTCTCTGCTTTTCCTCAGAGTAGCTTTGCCTCGTCTGTTCCTGTTTGGCTGTGACGTCATCCTGGAAAGAAACATCAGCTGTGCTGCTTCTATCAACACCCTTGTTTATAGATGTTGGAGATCGGCCTGTTTTCCAGTGTGGTCCTGTTTCTTTGACCGTGACTGAGTGGATGTGCTCTCTTCGTCCTCTGGCATGGGAGCTGCCTTGGAGCTCGTCTGCCTGGCTGTGTGTTTCCTGGACGGGGCCGCCTTTTACAGCTGCTTTTTGTATCTCTGCTTCTGTCTCCTTGAACCCCAGTCGGCCTCAGCAGATGGCCGCTCACACTGAGCCTGGTTCTGCTGGAGGTTTCTTCCTGTTAAAAGGGAGTTTTTCCTCTCCACTGTCGCTACAAGCATGCTTAGTGTGGGGGATTGTATTTGAGTCAATGAGTCAATGCAATCAACTGGTTTTCCTTAGATAGAAAACTTTGTATCAATTTGACTGTATGATCTGGTTGAACTGTAAAGTGCCTTGAGATGACATGTGTTGTGAATTTGGCGCTATATAAATAAACTGAATTGAATTGAATTGAATTGAATTGAGTCGGACTACGTCAGGCTATGCTGCACCTGAAGCATAACTAAAACTTGAAGGTGACCGAGTTTTTGTGGCAATCCCAAGAGTCTGGTATAACCTACCCTGGCAATCTGCAAAATCAGTTGAGGTTTTCAATCCCCTCTGAAAATGCATTTTTGTCTTTAGGTTTTAGACTCCTCAAAGTGGATGCTTGGCAAAACAAGTTATGCCCGGGTTGTCCCCTGGTTCTCCTCCTGGTGGGATATTCCTGGAATACCTCTTGAAGAAGCATCCAGGTGGCATCTGAAAACGATGTCTGAGCAATCTGAGCTGACTCCTTTCGATGTGGAGAAGCAGCTCTACTCTGAGCCTCTTGCAAAAGACAAAGCTCCTCAACATATCTCTAATGGAGTGCCTACTCACCCTGCAGAGAAAGCTTATTTCAGGTACCTGTATCCAAGATCTTGTTCTTTCGGTCATGATCAAAATGTCATGACCATAAGGCGAGGGTAGGAACATAGGCATACTGGTAAATAGATAGCTGCCTTTTCACTCAGCTCTCTCTGTACAACGACAGACCGTTGCGGCATCTGCAAGGTGGTTTATCCCCTTCACGGATAAACCACCTTTTTCTGGTTGAGAACCATGACCTCAGACTTGCTCTCACCCAGCAAGTTATAAAGGAAGCAGACAAATTACCTCGCTCTGTGTATAATGAACTACAAACTAAAAAGGTATTAAAAGAGCAGTCTGGACATCAATGCCAACTCCAGTACCAAGTATCAGTACTGTCTCAAATTAAAAGAAACTCTGTTAAAATGCCTCAATTCTGCCAAATTAACCGAAAAGTTTGGAAACTGTTCAGCATCTAAGCTCCTCTTGATGCGTTAATCATGGGTTTTATATAGAATGTTTTGCCCGTTTTAGAGACCTATTTTATTCAAATCATAAACACATCCCTTTTGTTGTGTGTTTTCAATTACACCTTAAAAAGAGAAATTATCAGACCATTGTTGAAAAAAAGAAACTTGGACAAATTGGTGCTGCATGACTAAAGACCCATCTCAAACCTCCTCTTCATCAGACTGTTTCCAGCCTACACCCAAGCTGAGGAAGTGTTCACGCCCAATAACCCTGACTATGACCACTTGGCCCAACAGTGCCTCTGTGCAGCTGCATGACTGCTTTGAAAGCACTGACTGGGACATTTTCTGCCACCACGACCAGGAGATGTTTGCCTCAGCAGTATTTGGCTACATCCACCACTGTGGAAACTCTGTCACAGTGGACAATCACATCTGGGTGTTTACCTCACTGAATTAACCACTCCTTTGCCCGCTTCACGGTTGACACACCAGACTAAACCCCTAGACAACCATGTGGAGATACAGGAGGTGAGCAGAGTCGTGAGGGCATTGAACACATGCAAAGCTGCTGGATTTCATGGGGTGACTGGGAGGCAGCTGAGGCACTGCATAGACCAGTTGGCAGGAAACTCCACCCCTTGTCATGCTTCGAGAAACCGGTACGGGTTCATATCAACTCACATCTCACCCCACATTCAACCCCCACCTGTTTCATACAGGGCCAACAGGTCAATGGAGGACCAACATGGAGCAACGGGGAAGCTGTTGAGGCTGCTCTTCCTGGACTTCAGCTCATCCTTCAACACTATAATCTGAGGGCTGGCTGGTGAGCAAATTGGGAGACCTGGGTCTCCCTGACAGCACCTGCAGTTGAGTAAGGGACTTCCTAACAGACCACTTCCAGAGATTGAGAGTAGGGCACAACCTATCTTCTCTTGTGAGGACCAACACTGGCTCTCCACAGGACTGTCTGCAGAGCCCCCTGATCTACACCCATGACTATTCCCCCATCCGATACCACCATCTCCATCCATCCATCCATCCATCCATCCATCCATCCATCCATCCATCCATCCATCCATCCATCCATCCATCCATCCATCCATCCATCCATCCATCCATCCATCCATCCATCCCAATTTCTCCCTTTCTCCATATAGGCTAACATTTGATCGTTAACGCTCTCCGTAGTTCCCCTGTGGTGAGAGCAAAGGGCGGCTGTTACGTTCCTTTAGCGAGCATGCAAGTTTCCTGTTGCTTGCGTGGTGAATTGTGCCGCCTGCGCTGTGTGGAGATGCAGGGGAAACCGTATGTGATGGGGAAACGCAGCTTGACGTAACACTGGTATTTCCATCTGGAAAACGCTGTTTTGCTGCTGGAGTCATCCTCACTCTCCATCTCTCTGTGTGTGCTGTATGTTAACACCCGCCAGCGGAAACGCCCACCTACCCAACTGACAGACGTAATCTCACTCTACATCAGCCAATCTCATCCTCCCCTCTCTCATGACAAGGTGCTATCACGAAAAAATATATCCTTGCTGTATGCTGTATATCCTTTGCAGATATGCAGCATTTTTTACCTGCAGCACAGAGAATGTTTTTTACAGTCATCCTTTTGAGGGCAGAACTGACATCTCTTCCTCTTACTTGCCTTAGCTGGTGAAGTGGCTGGAATATATGGATCCTTGGGTTGATCCGGACTCCCTGCTCTCTGAACATCTTTATCATCTGCTGCTGAGGCTTTTGTGTTGGAGGACATGATTCCTTCTTTCGATGAGTGGAGTTACAATCTTTCCTAGCTGCTCCAGGAACACCCTCCTCTTATTCTGCTTACAAAACATCAGGGTCAGGTTCAGTCAGATCAGGTCAGATCTCTCTCCAATTTAAAAAGGTATTGTAGGAGGAAACATCAACAATGTTGTGGGAGATGACCAGAGGCCAGTGGGCAGTCGTTCTTCTGCAGCTACAGTAGGTATAGAAAGTATTAAGACCCCTTTAAAATCTTCACTCTTTGTTTCATTGCAGCCCTTTGCTAAAATTAAAAGAGTTAATTGTATTTCTTATTAATGTATACTCAGCACCCCATCTTTACAGAAAAAAAAG